TAAAATCTGGCCTTGTCCCGTCCCACCCCCAAAGCAACTGTCATTAATCACCCCAATTAGCAAGGTCTCTGCTCCTTTTCCAGGCCCCTAATTTGCCTCCTACTTTTAAGTCAGAGTCATGGAGTAAACCCACCAAGAAGGTGTTTATAGCACATTTTGCTCTGGGAAAATAAGCATTGGAGGGGAAAAAAAATACAGCAATGCCAGCTATCAAAGAACCCCACCAATCTCTTCCTGGTGCAAAGCTAGAACATTATGTTTGAAGGAAATGTGATCTTGTTTGCATGAAAACCAATTAAAATTCCTATTTGGTCCTGTCAATATAAGCCACCAAAAGCATCACTAGAAGTGAAAATCACCAGACTACGTCCCATTTGCTTTCGTCACATCACGCATGCAAATGATGCTAGGAACGGTTCCATGAATCAAGAAGAAGGGAGAAGTAAAAGAACACACTGGCTGGATAAACGTCAAAGCTGGTACGAAGTTGAACATCCAACATTTGAAAGAAGCTGCTCTTGACAGGGTAGCATGGAGAGCTCTTGCCTATAAAGTCTCCAAGAGCTGGACACGACCGAACCGTTGAAACAACACCTAATAGAAGTCACATCCAATCCACGGGCCCTGGTTAAAATCCCACTCTGCAATTCTGCAGTCCGGAGAGAAAATATTAATAAGCTACACCTCCCAACACCCTGCCCAGCATAGTTCATGCTGGCTTCAGACTCTTGGAAGACCTATCTTCATGTACTTGCAACCAGCTTTCTGTGCTACCAACCGAAGCTTTCCGTGCATTGTTGGGCTAGTTTTCATCATGATGATAGCAACAGCAATAGCCCTTAGACTTATATACCACTTCACAGTGCTTTACATCCTTCTCTAAGTGGTTTTCAGAGTCAGCCTATTGCCCCCAACAATCTGGCGGCCTCATTTACCCACCTTGGAAGGATGAAAGGTTGAGTCAACCTTGAGCCTGGTGAGGATTGAACCGCTGGCAGTTGGCAGAATTAGCCTGCAATACTGCATTCTAACTTCTGCGCCACCACTAACTAACCACTAACTAACCAACTAACCCTTCAGAGTCTGACTGGCTAAATAGACTTACAAAGGTCTTACTTCCCCGACTTTTATTTTAATCTGATATACATGTCAGAAGCAGGAATAAATTATATTTGCAATACAAGCTGTACAATCCTACCACAGCATAGCTATAGATTTATCTTGGGATAGACTTTTGCTCATTAGAGAACCATCCATAGATGTTTCTCACACAAGATAGATAGGCTTTAAATGTTAGTGTTAAAAAGTCTCTAGGGTTAAAAAAAAAAAAAAAAGTAAGGGGAATTCCAGATGTTTTTGATGATGCGACAGGTCCCTAGCCTTGCATTACCTGTAAAAGTTAAAGGCTAACTTTTTTGTGTGTGATCATTTATTAAAGCTGCTGCAATAACTCTGGAGGTTCAGAACAAGTTCCAATTTCTAAGGTAAAAGAATTATAATTAAAAGTATGGAAACATTATGTTTCCTGTGAAATTTGGAGTGATAGTGAAGTTACGGGACCAAAGAATAAATAAAGCAAACAGCAACATAAAATTCTCAGTCTACCTTCAGCTACAGGGCAAAATTAATAATTTCCTACCACTTAATGGAAGACATTTGTAGAATAATGAAAAAAACCAGCTTGTGCATTCATTATTCTAAAACAGGCATGCTATTTGGGGCACGTTTCTGGCAGCTCAGGTTAAAATAAAAAGTGACTTAGAAGGAATGAAAAAAAAATCTATCTAAGAAAGGGAACAAGTGCTCAAATAGAGAGGCTTCAAATTAATTAAATTCCAGGGAGTTTCTTCAATAGGATTAGAATTTTCCCACCCGTATCCCGGGTAAGACTGTAATTATGACATCACCCGGAGTCTATAGCCCGATGTTATATGAAGGCATAATTTTTTCAAATTGTAAGCCTGTCATACAGAGTCTGTCTCTGGACTGAAGTTTCTGATGCTTACTTTGGATAAGGAAGGAAATAAATCAAGTCAACTTGAGTTAAATAAATATGAAAAGCAGAAGGAAAGCTCAGAGTTACAGAATCAAGCCTGGCCTCTCACAAGGTTTTTGTTGTTGTTGTGGTTGGTTGTTTGCACAGAACTAAGATCCCACCATGGTATTCTGCACATCTGTTCATCCTCAGAAACTGTATTTGTGTATCTATTTTTAATTATATTAAAAAAAAATGTTTTGAAGAGCGGGTTGTGCTAAAGTCCATTGAATAGGTACTTTTATCAAGTGGGAAATGAACTGCACTGAATAAAACACTTAAATGCCCAGGCCAGACTTGCATTGCAAAGTACCTTCCTTAAAATACTTTCCACTGTTTTATTTTTGCAAAAACTAACCAAAGGATTCGCCCACTTCTCTGTACCCTATTTGGCTAAATCAACCAACCTGGGCACAGCCCTATGCTACGAACAGGCCTTGGACACTGAAAAGCCAAAGCGGATGGGATGGCATTCATAATTGCCCCACTGCCGTTTTGAGCAACAGAAAATTTTGGGCTCAGTTGCGGTCATAAGTCGAGGACAATCTGTACCCTTTAGCCTTTTGTCTCTGGTCTGGTTCTGAATGCATCTTCTCTTCCCTTCCCTTCCCCACCCAGAGAGATTGCCCCATAGCAAATACTGAGTCACCTGGATGGCTCAACAGAGATCCACAAGGCCAAGGTTTGCAAAAATGCATTTTCCTGTCCTCGCCCACTTCCATTTTTCAGTTTCTCCCGGGCCATTGAGAGATCCTGTCTTCTGGAAAGCTCACCACACTTAGGAAGCACAATCCACAATGGGTCCCTTCCAGGTGTGGCTGAGAATGCCAGCAGCTGTTACTCCCAACACATCTGGAAGGCAGTATATTCAGGAGTCTGTAACCAGGATCACTACATTGTCGCCAGTGGGCACAGAGAACTGCAAGCAAAAAACACAAGGGTCTCTGCCTCAGAGACCTTACAATTCTTTATTTATTTAAAGTGACCACTCTCCTCTCCCCCCCTCCCACCCCCAGTCTTAAAGGGCCTTTAAACAGCAATGTCATCTTTGGACATTAGCAAGTGATGATGGTGCTTATTTCTCTGTGAAGCCTCTGCAGATTAATGGCTGTTATCAGGGACAAGCAAGGTTCCCCCCCCCCCTTCTCTCTCTCTCCCCAAGTCAGCTGATGCTTTGCGTTTCAAAGGAGAAGACATGGGGGAGGGAGGGAGGGAGGAGGATAGAGAGATGAATTTAAGTATCCGTTGGCATTTTGACTTCTAGCGCAGGGAGGAAGTTTTTGTTTGAAACCTTTTTCTAAGGTAGCTTTGGAACAGCTGTTAGGCAGGCCTGAAAACAATAGCCTTGTTATTATTACTAATTATTATTGTTGTTATCTCTTTTATTCATTAAACATGAAATTCAGTCAACTGAACATTTAAAAATGTATCACAAATATCACTGACTGGCACTGATGGTTGATACAGGTTGTTGCCAGCATCCTAGGTATCTGTTATTATTAATATTAATAAATTTATATGATGGCTGGCTCCCAGGGCTTCTGGGAGGCTTACAAATTAATTCAAACACGGAACACAAGAAACCCAAAGAAGGCCCAGAAAAAAAGAGTTAAAAAGAGCACGGGGTTTACTAAAAGCAGAAGTGCCATGGAAGTTTTGATGATCAACTCCAATTGGTCTACATGGCCACACTGGAACTGTAATTCCAAATATCTGTCAAACTTCATTGCACTCAGTTAAGCTAAAGCACCCAAAGGGTTGCAATTCCTTTGCAACGGGCTGAACCCAATGGTAGGCAGCTGCAATTCAGCTGCGCCCCCAATCCCTACGGTCAGTTGCTGGATTATCGGAACCTGAATTAATTTAATAAACCACAACTCAAGTCCATTCGTTTAATAAACCATGCCCACCCACCAGTGAGGTTTTTAAAAAAAGTATTTAAGTCTTTCCTGCAGCTGCAAGGAGTTAAAAGCTGAGGTCACCTTATCAACTCCGCACCTCTCACGACTTACTCTCTTCCTACTTGCTCCATACTACTACCCTCCGTCCCTGGCAAGGGGCAATTGGAATCCGTTTCATTAACCAGGGGACTCGGAAGGCCCTTCTTCACTTTGGAAAGGAGGACCCCAATTCTTAAAAGCTACCCCAACCAAGCCCAGGAACGTCCGCTTAGCCAGGGACGCGTTTCAGAAAGCGATCCACCTCGGACCTTCCACTTTTGGGAAAAGGAAACCCTTCAGTCTGGGGTCTCTCCGACTAACTCTCGCCCCTGCCCGCCGGGTCCGAGCGGGGCTAAGCCGGCTAAGGGATTTTAGCTCTTCCAGGGTCAATCCAAGACCACGGCAGGCAGGCAGGCAGGCAGGGCGGCCGTGGAAGGCGAAGACCCGGGCAGCGGGACCGATGAGGGAAGGGGCAGCTGCGCCTGGCTGGGCGGCGGTGTCAGTCAAGGCAACCTGCGCCAAACACGCCCCTTCGCAGCACCTTCGCGCCTCCCGCAAGGCTGGCACAAGACCCGGGCAAGAAGCGGCCGAGAGACAGGCAGGCAGGCAGGCAGGCAGGGAGCACCGCCAACCCGACGCAAGCCGCTCGGTCCTTCGTCCGCCAATGCAGCCCGGGCTCAGCTCTCCGCGCTCGGGCGGGGCAGGGACAGAGCAGCCCCGGGGCCGGAGGGTCTCGGGGTTGCTGGGTTTTTTTTGGGGGGGGGGGGGTTGCAAAGCGATGGGGTTGCAAAGCGATGGGAGCCAACAGGCAGAGACACCCCTTCCCCTCCCCTCCCCGAATGAAGCTGAATATACGCGTCCCAGGATCCAATCTTGGGTCGGTCACCGGGATCGCTGACAAGCGCCCCCCTCCCTCCCCATCCCCGGTCCTCTCCTCCTCTCCTTCCAAGCGCCTGGTCCCTCTCTCGCCTCCCCTCCCAGGCTGGGCCTCCCCCCACCACCCTCCTCCTCCTCCTCCCGCTCACCAGGTAGGCGCCCACGGTGCCCTGGGCCAACATCAGGACGCACTCGGACACCAGGAAGACCTGGATGCTGGCGAAGCGCGACTCCTTCTTTTTCCGCTTCTTGGCGCGCTGCGCTTCGTCCCCTTGCAGCTCGCCGCCGCTGCCGCTGCCGCCGCCGCCGCCGCCGCCACCCGTCGAGGAGCCGCGGGACTTCTTCGCCTGCATCCTCCGCCTCCCCTGCCCTCCTGCGCGGCGGGTCCCCGAGGCTCCCCTTGGCCGCCTCCCCGCGCGAGCCGCCCGGCCGCGCCGGCTCCAATCAGATGCCCCGAGCCGGCGGCGGCTGCTGCTGCTGCTGC